GGAAAAATTCAACTAACAGTCCTTCATTAGCTTATACGGCCTAGGGTAACTAGAACTCTTATACTCAACCTCTTCAGGATGGAAACTCAAAAAACTGCTTTACAAATCAGTGGAGAATTTTTAGATTACTGATCGCCATCTCTAGACCCGACCCTCATTTGTTCTGAATCTGGATGTAGCTTAGCCCTGCCAAGAATGTGTATGGGCGAGGGAGGACGGTAGCAAGCCAAGGGATAGGAGAAAAGGAGAAGGAGAACTACCAGTCAATGAGATCGACATTACTAATTACTTGACGATTTGTTATTTGGTCCTATAGGTTGACTTGCCAGCTGATAATGTCGGCAAACTGATTGCGTATCTACCTGATAAATAACATATAAACGGCAATAGCAGAGAATGCAGCCAGGAATACCCTATCCAAAGTCTTCCAGTAACCAGGGCCAAGTACCGAAAACGAAATGAACCGAATTGTATGCACCGAAAGAATACTTCAACCAACTGTAGGCAGCCATTTCATCTTCTCTTTTAAAATTCACTCCTATTTACTTGGCTCGAATGTCTGCACTCGAGCAAAAATGATGAGAGCAACAGAGTTGCAAATGAAAGTTCGGTTTGGAGGTGCCCGGCTCCATCACTGCGCGACAAAAGTCAAATAAGGTCACACTTAACTTGTTGACCAGCAGAACAATCGGTTGACAACATGTTGACGTCTGCAGAGCAGCAGGTTTAATCATGCGTGAAGATAGATTTTGGCACAAAATGCTATTTTTAACTTTGGTAATTTATGTGTAAGCTTTAAATTCTCACTAATTTTGCATCACACCAAAACATTCTTGCAACTATTAATGAAGTAGATAAATAAAACAAAGACGTAAAATAAAAGGCATATATATTTTGAATTTTCTGACGAGAAATTCTTTTTGCCAATCTGATTTATTGTATATAATGGAAGCACTAGAAGCTTTAAAGTTATAGACCGCCAGTTTCTTAGAAAATAATCCTCCACCTCCTTGTTATCCTCATTATCATAATCATCCCCCCTTTAATAATAATACTAATCATAATAATAATCATCATCATCATCACCAATCTCCATCAATCGGTACAAAATACGAATTTTTAATTTACTTTCTTAGGAAGCAGCAGAGATCACGTCTCAATGATATATTTGAGGTTTAATAAATCCACGTAAACTACCTGCTGAATGACTAATTGAGAAGATGCTTAAAAGTATGCTGAATCAAGCCAAGAAGGGTTAAATTCAAAAGAATAAATGCGAAAAACGAGAGGCAAGGTCTAAATTGCACTCAGATCCGCGATGTCCAGCTCAATGTACTGTTGGTCTATGAACAAATTGATTTCGCTGACTCGATGAAGATGACGATCCGTCTCCTCATTCTTGCGTAACTCTTGCATAAGGTCGGAATACCAGGTCTGAGACCGGTGAATCATTAACTCTTCGCACTGGTCGATCTTCTGCATGTGAACATCCTTGGATGTGGCCAAAGCGTTCAGCAGAGCATCTCTGTCCGAGAATAACTGATTCGCAAGGAGTGAAATAGAAATTGTGTCATGGTAATACTACCACTAATGGCTAAATATAAGATGGATCTGATAAATAAAATAATGAACAAAAGTTCGATTTTTCAAAAACTCTTAGTTCAGATATTCAATTACATTTCTATTTCGAAGGTGAATACTACCAAACGTCGACAGCGGATTCCTCTTGACCAACTGTATTTCTGGCTTTACCGGAACATTTTGTTTGGTGTCGTCCCCAAAGGAACCTCCAGTAAAACTATGTTAAGCTTTCGTTTGTCATATAATGAACATTTCGAGTGAAAGTGTTGGGTGAAGAGATTCAAAGATCGGTTCCACCAGAAGACGACCGCGGATTCCTCTTGACCAGCTGTCGATTGGCTTTACTGGAAGATTCATGCTGACGCTGTTGCCGAGGCAATCACCTTCGATTCCGGTGAAAATGTGCTAAGCTTTGTCCGTCATATGACGGACTTTATCAGAGCAAGGTATTCTCGTCACAACAAAATTCAAGCTAAAGAGTCAAGAAAACTCACCGGCAAATAGCTAAAAAGTGGTATATATACTCTATATCTGGCCACTTTGATCAATTATAAAGTAATTTCCTATTATGTCTGGATCTATTGAGTTTTCTTGACTCGTTAGCTTGAATTTTGTTGTGACGATGATACCTTGCTCTGATGATGTTTGTCATATTACGGACAAAAGCTTTACACCTTTTCACCGGAATCGAAGGAGATTTCCTCGGAAACAGCGTCAGCCTGAATCTT